AAGGCCACGAGAGTGGGCAGGGCCCGGATCTCAGGGGGCAGCTCATTCCAAAGGGCCGGAGCGGCAACAGAGAAGGCCCTACTCCTAGGCGTCGCCAGCCGGCATTGTCCCGCTGAAGGCACCCGGAGACATCCTATCCTGTGGGATCTTATTGGTCTAAGGGAGGTATGCGGCAGAAGACGGTCTCGCAGGTATCCGGGTCCTAGGCCATGTAGGGCTTTAAAGGTGATAACCAGCACCTTGAAGCGCATTTGGAGACCGATAGGAAGCCAGTGCAGCTCGCGGAGGATAGGTGTAACATGGGTGTATCTTGGTACACCCAAGCTGACTCTTTCTTTGGGCAAGTCTGAATCTCTGCAAATGGTTTTATCAATAGAAGCTTGCTTGCTTTTCTGTCTCCTTTAAAATTTGGGGAAAATCTATAATCACGTCTCTCTGATTTGCAGGCAACAGGCCGCACTGCCTTGATGGAAGCAGCAAGAGAAGGGGTTTTAGAGGTGGTCCGGGGTATCCTGGAGAGAGGTGGGAATGTTAATGTTTTTGACAACGAGCGACACCATGCTGCCCATTTTGCTGCCAAAGGAGGGTTTTTTGAGGTATTCTTTCTTGATGCTGTCAGAAGCAAAGGTACCCAACCAAGGATCTCTTGGTTAATTATTAATAATCAGCTGTCACTAGAATGGGAATTCTGGAATACTTGGTTTTTCTATGGGTTGGTAATATGGGGAGGCTATCCTTAAAAAAAAGGGTTCATAGAGTACAGGGGTAAATGTGAAAGGGATTATAGGCCCAGAAATGGATGAAAGGATTTGAACTGGGGAAGGACTGTATGTAGCAAAGTTGCTGTCAAGAAATGGCAGTTCTGAACTGAATTTCCCCAATTGTCTCCATAAATGTGATTTACAAATACACACAACATTTTAAGACCTTAAGTTTGACCCACCTACATCAGTGGGTACTGCTGCTGCTGAAGGAATGTCTTTTGCTACCATTTGGTAGTTTTTCCTCCTCCTGGTAGCAGAAGAGACAAAAAATTTCATCCCTGTGCTATGCTAATGCACTTCCAGAACCACATTTGATGGAACAAAACGTGATGGAGAATTACTGCTCAGGGTTTTTGTTTGTCATTCTGTCATCCCGTTAAATTGATTTCTCTGCCGCAGTCTTGGCTGAGAAGTGTATCTGTTTAAATGTTAAATATTTCCTGCTGCTTCGTTTAGAAGCCTCCACTCTGAGGATTCTCTTCATTAAGATTTGAGGTTGCTATGCCAGGGATTTGTCCCAAACGAATCCCCCAGGAAAACCTCACTTGTTTGTCTGCCTGTTTTAAGTTTGCTTAGATCAGTGACTTTCAACTCGAAGCGGAACAGTTGTGAGGGATGGGAGGAGCCAACTTTATATCTTTATATGGTTCACTGACGAAAGGACGACCGACAAAAGTGCGCCCGACTAAACCACGTTGACAAAACCGCGAGTTCTAAACCGCACCGACGAATGAGCGCTGAATCGCGCCGACAACAGTGTGCCGACAGAAGCGCGCTGTAAATCTAAACCTAACCCTAACCCTAAACCTAATGCTAAACCTAACGCTAACCCTAATGCTAACCTTAACCCTAAACCTAACGCTAAACCTAACGCTAAACCTAACGCTAAA